CCGGAAACAGCGAGCCCCGTCCGAGCACCAAGCGGTCCTCACCTCGGCGTCTTGGCTGCACGACAGCTTCGTGTCGTGAGAGCCTGGGCGCTGGTTCTCTGACACCGCGCGGATCGCTCAAGCCTCAGTGATCGAGCAGGGTGTTTCTTCCAGGATGGGAAAAACACACAGACAGAAGTGATCGTCGCCTCCCAGGAAAGCATGGGAAAACATGGGCAGTATGTGGGGGAAAGGAACGAACATCCAGAACATGTGGGATAATATGGGGGATCATGCTATTTGTGTGTATTAGTTTGTGTGTCCTTGGGCTCCTTGATTCTTGCTATGGGCTTCTGCTGCACTTAGGATGAAACTACTGGGAGGTTTTCGTCGGAAAGATCAGAAAGGAATAGTAAGCCCCATTGAGGGGCTGTTACGACGGAGTGGGCCTCGGACTAAGCTGGATGAACCGGGATTGAGCGGGATTAAGCCGGATTGAGCGGGACTAAGCCGGAGAAACCCAGATTAAACCGGACTTCGGACCAGGGCAAAAACATGACATTACCTCCCAGGAATTTGAGCTGGGACCGACCGTCCCAGCATTCCTATAGTCATACCACGAAATGTTCTTAGAACCCAGAAATGTTCTAAGAACAAAAACAGGTTTCCTATAACATAAAACCGATGTGATTAAACAAGACAGGCTACGCCAGAAATTTATAAAAACATCTTGTGGAAACCACAAAAAGGTTCTTAGAACATTGTCTGGTGGGGCTATAGGCGAGCCGGGACGCTTCGCCACTGCTTGAGGAGTTGCATCCGAACTGCACCAGGAGAGAACGCACGACGAGGAGCGAGAGGGGCTCTCACTCTGGCCACGGCGAGCCTCGGCCACGAGCCGCATCCCCGACCCGGGCCTCAGGGGTGGCCCTCCAGAACCAGGGCAGCAGGAGGAGGAGGAGGAGGAGGCTCGGAGGAGGGGGGGGAGGAGGAGGAGGAGGCGGGGGAGGAGGAGGAGGCGGAGGAGGAGGAAGAGGGGGAGGAGAAGGAGGAGGAGGCGGGGGAGGGGAAGGGGGAGGAGGAGGAGGAGGAGGAGGAGGAGGAGGAGGAGGAGGAGGAGGAGGAGGAGGAGAAGGGGGAGGGAGGAGGAGGAGGCGGCGGCGGGGGAGGGGAAAGGGGAGGAGGAGGAGGAGGACGACGAGGAGGAGGAGAAGGAGGAGGAGGAGGTAGGGGACGGCGGGCGGAAGCATCGGGCAAGAGCAAACCAGGAAAGTTGTCCGAAAGATGGGTTCGGCAGACTTTCTCGCAGCACAGAAAAATGGACAAAACATGTGCGCGACATTGGCCCGCGCGAAACTGCTTCGGGCGGAATCAAACACCGTATACTTTGAACGCTGGCGGCGGTTGTGTCGCGCGACTGCCACGCAGCGTGGGCGCCGCGGCGCCCGCCCCTGTCGTGCGCCCTCTCCTGTAGACAGCGATCGCGCGCCGATCGTCGGGGCTCGGCGGAAACGGCGCGCTGCCGCAAAGGGCTGAATCTAGCGCTGCATCGACACCCCGCACCAAATAAGGCTGTCCAAGGCGCGGGCAGGAGTTCGCTGCGGGGCAATGGACGGGAAAGCGGGAGGACGAGCAGGAGAAACGGAAACTGCAGCAAGCCGAACTGGAGCGAGGACGGGGCCAAAGGGGGGACGCTGAGGAACTTGAACAGGGCGGGGGCGATGACGGATGCAGCAATTCGCCACCACACTTGCGCGATGGGAAGCGTTAGGATGCTGCTGGCCGCCCGGGAGAGCGCGAGCAACTCGTCAGAGCCAGTCGGCCTCCTCATCGGACACGCGCCCTGGCAATCGCCTTCCTCACCTGTTGCTCAACTACATATCATTCGCCGCCCAGGCGGCCCCAGGGAGACCATGGACGGCCCCGAGGCGCCTCAAGACTCCCGCGCGCCGATTCGACGCGGCAAGTCGGCCCCATCATGGGGGTCCAAGCATTCAGCGGGAACACCCAATGAGACCCCGATGAGGCCCCGAGGAAACGCACGAACCTAAGTTTCAGCGAAGCGTAGAAAGCCTCCAAGAGGGTTCCAAGACTCGCCCCTGGAAGCTCCAAGCAAGCCCCTGGGCGTCCCCCCAAACGCACGCAACGGGAATCCATGGGCAGGAAGAGACCTGAAGGAACAGGCGGGAAGAGAGGGGCGCGCGCGACACCGCGGACAAGGACAGGATGTTGATACCCGCGCCTGTTTAGACAGGGCGCGGACTGGAGCAGGCGCGAGACTCAACCTCATTACTGCTGTCTTGCTGCGCTCGGTGGTCGGCGGGGATGCCGCAGGCATCTGTATAACAGTGATCACAGCGATTGCATGATCACGCGGGCCGTCGGCAAACGAGCAACACCGATGAGCCTGCTGCAGACAGCAATCGAGGGGCGAGCTCGGAGTGGGAGGATGCGGAGGGAGAGGTGGGAGGATGAGGAGGAGGGGAGAGGAGGAGGAGGGGGAAGGAGGAAGGAGGAGGTAGAGGAGCAGGGTGATGGAGCAGATTTGCGTTCCCGCAAGACAGCTTGGGGACATGCCACGGAGCCAGGGGCCACGGGAAACGCGTCCAGTCCCAACCAGACCCGAAGGACGGGCCCACGAGCCACGGGCCACGGGCCACGCGCCACGGGCCACGGGCCACGGGCCGATCGGGCCGGCGCCCTAGCACCGAGGGGCAGGCGTCGGGCGACGATTGGTCCACGGGCCACACGCCAGTCATACCGGAAGAAACCCGAACGGCACCGACCCCCCGACCCATTCCAGAGCACCATAATTCTAAAGCTCCTTGGGAGCCAAAAAATATTGTGCACGCCCGAAAAAAAATGGGCGCGCAGCACGCCCAACGACCTCGTCCACCGACACAAAAATATTGTCCATGCCAGAAAAAAAATGTGCATGGCCATTATTTTTTGTGCTTCGCCCGAAAAAAAATGTGCAATTCCGACACGTGCGCACGCCGAAAAACATGTGCTGTTTTTCGTGCGTGGCCAATGTGTCGGGGCCCGAGGTGGGGGCCGAAAGAGTATGTATAATATTGGGCGTGCCCGAAAAATGGCAAGGGAACTCTCCCCGGGCATTGGGCCCGTCCGATATCCGGGCGGGCGCGCGCCCTGCCCGGCGCGGGGGCCAATGGACGCACCCAGCGCGCGGCGACGGAAACCATGAAACAGCCTTAATGGCAATCACTCCAGGCAAGAGGAGGGCCCTGGCGCCCCTCCGAGCTGCCCAACGGGCATCTTGCCGACGCCCCCCATAGGACGCGCCCCATGGGACACCCCCGTGGGGCGGCCCCCACACGTGCAACCATAGGACGCCTCCTCCATACGACGCCCGCACAGGACGCCCCCATAGGAAGCCCCCATGGGCCGCTCCACATGGAACGCCCTCCATGGGTGGGCCCCCATAGGACGCACCCCAAAGGGCGCCGCCCTTAGGACGCCCCCCTGGGACGCACCCCATAGCCAACAGGAGGCGAACATACGGCGCACCCCGTGGGGCGCCCCTCATAGGACGTACCCCATTGGACGCACCCCATAGACGCACCCTCATAGGACGCCTCCCATAGGACGTCCCCACAGGACGCCCACAGAGGACACCCCCATAGATCGCCCGCCATGGGACGCCCCCAGAGGACGCCCCCCCCCATACGACGCCCACATAGGACGCCCCCATAGGACGCCACCATAGGACGCCCCACATGGAACGCCCACATGGGACGCTCCCCAAAGGACGCCCCCCATAGGACGGCCCCCAGAGGACGTCCCCACAGGACGCCCCCCATAGGACGCCCCCCATGCGACGCCCGCATAGGACGCCCCCAATGGACGCCCTCCGTAGGACGCCCCCAATAGGACGCCCGCCATAGGACGCCCGCCATAGGACGCCCGCCATAGGACGCCCGCCATAGGACGCCCAATAGGACGCCCGCCAAACGCAGATTTGCGTTCCCCCATCACCCCCCTGGGGGGGGTGATGGGGGAACGCAAATCTGCGTTTGGGGTCTTTTCGGAAAAGTAATGAAGGGGGCGGCGACGCCATGGAAAGGAAGGACGAGGGACGAAATGCGAAAGGCAAGGAAGGAGTACGGAAATTAAGAGCAAGCGAGGGGGAGAGGAAGGAAGAAGGGTAGAGAGGCGGGAGAAACAACGCAGGAGGCGCGATATGATGAAGGAAGGCGTCTGTGCGAGCTCCCACGGAAGGACGCGCCAATGCAAATGGTTCGAGGGCAACAAACGCAATAGCAATCCAAACATGGAGAGCTGCATGCGCCCCGGAAGCATCCGAAAATACCGAACCACGATGAACCCGTGAAGCACCCTATCTTGGTATTCATGATGGGGGCCCTATGGCCCCACTCGATCAACGACGCGAGCACGCCCGCGGAAACCTAGCGCGAGGTGCCCTCGTAGCAGCACCCGCGCGCACCCTGATCACCACGACTTCAAACAAAACATCTGGCCGAACTCACATTACTTTCTTTGCCCAATCATCTGTCCATTTTTTGGCCATGTTTGGGGCGACAACGATACCGGCGCGAACCCATTATTGGGCCAAGATTTCTGGTTTCTCGGTTCCAATCCACTCCCCCCGTTCCCCCCTACCTCTCGGAGGAGGAGGAGGAGGAGGAGGAGGAGGAGGAGGAGGAGGAGGAGGAGGAGGAGGAGGAGGAGGAAGGAGGAGGAGGAGGAGGAGGAGGAGGAGGAGGAGGAGGAGGAGGAGGGAGGAGGAGGAGGGGCCCCTCTGCAGCCCAGTGGTTAGTACTTCATTTTCTTGGCTGCACGCCGGAGATCCGGGGGTCGACTGAGGCGACCCCTGCTGGCGCCCTGAGCCTCTTGGCGGGGCAACGTCAGGGGGGGACCGGCTCAGGGGGAAAGCCTCGATCTGGAAGCCTCGAGCTCGGGGGGGAGGCCTCGAGCCGGAATCGGCGATCCACCCACTGCGCACCCGCCCCTCCCCAGGCCCCATCCCACGGCGAGGGAGCCTGGCCAAACATTGCCAGGATCGCCCACCCCCACAGCAGGATGACCCACTCGAAGAAGTTCGAGAAGCGGAGGAAGTGGGACCTCCGCGGCGGGCCGGCGTGCGCGCGCACTGCACGGCTGCCTCGTGCCCCTCGCTGGATGCGGGAAGCCACCGGAGGTGCACGGGGGGCCGAGAGGGAGGCCAGGCGAAGCACGCACAGCACAGGGAAGCAGAAGCGCGTGCGGGCGCCAGACGTAGCGAGGCGTGCCACTCCGGCACAGCAGCCGCGGGAGACTGGCACAAGGCAGGAGAAAGCGGCGCAGACCTGGGACCGACAGGGACCGACGCAGCCTCCAAGAGAAGGCGCCGTCTTCGAAAGGCGCCCTGCTGCAGCCCCAGAGCTCCAACGCTCGCACGCCATCCTTCACCTGCTCGGCCCTTCGCCCCATCCTCGCTAGCCCAGGCTGGACAACAATGTTCAATGAGACGTGGTGCACGTGAGGCTTGATCCCGTGTGGGTGTGCTTGCGCTCCAGAGAGGCTGTGCAAGTGATGAGACTGCACGGAGGGGCGCACCAGGCACGAAACAGCAAGGAGAGAAGAAGCGCGGGTGGGGACAAGCAAGCGCCATGCTTCAAAGCGCTGAAGGCCCTGAACGGAGTGTAGAACGTGAAGCCCAACATCAACAGCACCCACAGGAACAAGACCTTGGTTGAACGAGGCAGGGTATACGGCTACGACCTCGCAGGGCATGCTCGCACATAGCTCATGCAGGACTACTCAAAACTTGGAGCGAGCGTATATGAGAACGACTGAGAGACGGCGGGGCACCATGACTCGATTGATCGTGCCTCGCTGTCTTCCTGCGCTCGTCTCCACATATAGGAGCGAGCAGATAATTGGCGTCGGCTGATCGATAGAGGGTCGGATACTGCCGACGTCTAAGCGAGCAAGCCCCCAACGCCAACATGGAATTCTTTTGCGTCATGCTGCGCATCTCAACCGCGCTGTAGATGTGGCCGCCTGCCCCCCTCCCTGTGGTCGCGAATACAGCGAGCATAGGAACAGATCGACGAGAAAGTGATCGGCACACCTGTGTACATGTGCTGGTTACAGCGGCAAGCGAGAATTGAATCCAACATGTCAACTGTGTCAAGCAGTCGGGCAGTAACCCACACCCCGGAATACCAATACTGTCCCTGTCTCGACGCTCGACAGTCTCCCCCCGCAGCAGTCCGCATCACCCACCTCGGCTGAACACGAAATGGACGTAGACCTGGGTTGTCAAGCCATTGCCGATGTCATCGTTCTTCAGAATTGCCTGCAGCCCCCAGCAATCCCGAACGACCCCAGCTCGCTTCAGAGCCTCAAGTACCAAACACCATGACTTGAATGACACACACGCGTTCGCATATATAAATATATATATATATATGTGTGTAGCAGAAATCTGCTTGCGGCGATTCGAGAACAGGGTGCAAGAAGCAGACAGGGATGAGCGGAGGAAACCAACTCCAGGCGATCTCAAGTGGACGGATAATGATTTCAAACGTACTCGTTCCCAACCATCCAGTGGTGTTGGATCCTCGTCTTGAAGTGACAGCGCCCGCGTTTCCTCCTCCTCCCCCCTCCTCCCCACCCCCTGTGGGCCCCAGTGGCCCCATAGGGAGCTCCACCGAATGCCCCAGTGGGGGTGCCCGCATGCGCTTCCCGCGCCCAGGGCAGCGCTTCGTGGCCGCATAGGGAGCTCCATCGAAGGCCCCAGTGGGGGTGCCCGCATACGGTTCCCCCACCCAGGGCAGCGCTTCGTGGCACCACAAGGAGCTCCACCGCAGGCCCCAGTACGGGTGCCCGCATGCGGTTCCCCCACACAGGGCAGCGCTTCGTGGCCCCATAGAGAACTCCACCGCAGGCCCCAGTGGGGGGGTGCCCGCATGCGGTTCCCCCACCCAGGGCAGCGTTTCGTGGCCCCACAGGAAGCTCCACCGTAGGCCCCAGTGGGGGTGCCCGCATGTGGTTCCCCCACCCAGGGCAGCGCTTCGCGGCCCCATAGGGAGGTCCACCGAAGGCCCCAGTGGGGGTGCCCGCATGCGGTTCCCCCACCTACAGCAGCGGTTTCGTGGCCTCACAGGGAGCTCCACCGCAGGCCCCAGTGGGGGGGTGCCCGCATGCGGTTCCCCCACCCAGGGCAGCGTTTCGTGGCCCCACAGGAAGCTCCACCGTAGGCCCCAGTGGGGGTGCCCGCATGTGGTTCCCCCACCCAGGGCAGCGCTTCGCGGCCCCACAGGGAGCTCCAACGCAGGCCCCAGTGGGGGTGCCCGCATGCGGTTCCCCCACCTACAGCAGCGGTTTCGTGGCCTCACAGGGAGCTCCACCGACGGCTCCAGTAGGGGTGCCCGCATGCGGTTCCCCCACTCAGGGCAGTGTTTCGTGGCCCCACAGGGAGCTCCACCGCAGGCCCCAAAGGGGGTGCCCGCATGCGGTTCCCCCACTCAGGGCAGTGTTTCGTGGCCCCACAGGGAGCTCCACCGTAGCCCAGTGGGGGTGCCCGCATGCGGTTCCCCCACCCAAGGCAGCGCTTCGTGGCCCCATAGGGAGCTCCACCGTAGGCCCCAGCGGGGGTGCCCGCATGCGGTTCCCCCACCCAGGGCAGCGTTTCGTGGCCCCATAGGGAGCTCCACCGTAGGCTCCAGTGGGGGTGCCCGCATGCGGTTCCCCCACCCAGGGCAGCGTTTCGTGGCCCCACAGGGAGCTCCACCGTAGGCCCCAGTGGGGGTGCCCGCATGCGGTTCCCCACCACCACCACTGTGGCAGGCCCCTCACACAGTTCGTGGCCCCATAAGGAGCTCCACCGAGGACGATATTCACAACTGCGGTACTCACAACTGCACATGGTTGGGTCGTTCGCCAGGTTAATTTTTTGGGACGCCTGCCCAAGGGCGGCTGGACGTGCCAACGTAGGGGTACTAACTTTCTAGCCGCCCTGGGACAGGCGTCTCAGATGGCAGCACAACTTGTGTTATACGTTTGTTTCGTCTGCTACACTGACCGTCCAGATCGATCCAAGCCCAGGGACGCCCGTCAGAGTCGCCAGTGTAGTCGACTCGCTCGGGACGAACCCACGTCCGTGGAGGAAGACACCCGTCGATGACGCACGCAGACGTGGGCAGCAACCACCGAACCGATCGAATCGTGGACCGTCCTGCACCTTCACGGGCCCCAAACAGGCTCGCGCCAGGGCGCCGGGCACCACACGATCCCGGGGCCGACGTCGCGCCATCGGCCGCCCCGCGGCGGGCCCCAGAGCGCACACGAAACAGAAGCGAGGCGGAGCAGAAAAGAACCGACGAGGTCGTGGGAAGCAGCGCTCACCCTTGAGACACGAAGAGAGAGTGAGTGAGAGAGAGAGAGAGAAAAATAAAGAAAGAGAGAAACAGAGGCAGAGGCACGACGCACGATCTCTCCTTCGGCGCGGCGATGGAGTGCAGCCACCAGCACGACGGGCTGCGCAGCACACGCGAAGAGTGTCCGCCTCTGTGGATGCGCGCCCCTGAAAGCCGAAGAAGGGCACCCCTCTGAGCAGGGACCGACCGTCCCGGCATTCCTATAGTCCTACCGCGAGATGTTCTTAGAACCCAGAAATGTTCGAAGAGCAAAAACAATGTTCTTAAAACATCTATCCGATGTGATAAAGCAAGACAGACTCCGCCATGAATGTTCTAAGAACATTTCGTGGAAACCACACAAGGTTCTTAAAACATTATTTGGTAGGGCTATAGGCGAGCCCAGGACGCCTCGCCACTGCTTGACCCCTGCGGCAGAAAACCCGAACACCCCGGATAGCCTTACGCGGCTCACGCAGGGGGGCAACGCCGGGGAGCCACGATGGGCCACCGACTCGGGGGGCCCGGCGCCCCTCCTGCGGCAACTCACGGGAGCCTCGTCGGCGCTTGCGAACCGACGCCAATCGACTTCAACACGACGCTCATCGACGCAAACTCGACGCGAATCGACGCCAGCTGACGCTGCATCGGCGCCAACTCGTCGACTCTCAGACGCTCATCGACTCTTCAGCCGGACTTCCGAGGGTATACCAATAGGCTCCCAGGACCTGCAGCCGAAGAACACCCCTCGCCGGACGTCAGAGGAACTGCACAGGACCCCGCACGGACGAGCTGCGTCGGGAGAGAGCGGCCCGCGGGAGCCGCGAGCACGGCCGACCACCCGGCGGCCACAGAGGTCCGCCGGCCCCAGGACGAATTAGGTCCGAGGCGGGGTGTGCGCGCCACGCCGAGGCCGAGAAGGACCGGGAGCGACTCCAGTAGGGGGCCACACGCGAATCCTATACCCCTACCCCCTACGATTTCTGAGGGGGAGGGCGGGGTTCACTTCGTTCGGGGAGGGCGGGGTTCACTTCGTTCGGGGGCTCCCGAACGAAGCGAACTCCACCGTCCCCCTAAGAAGTCGTAAGGGGTAGGGGTAGGGTTCGCGTCAAGCTAGCCATGCCACCCGCCCTCCCACAACATAAGAAACAGTGATGGCACAACGGACAGGCTGCTGTCTTCCCCCTCGCCGTACCCCTAAACCCCCCAAATCCGTTCCGAAAGAAGCCTTCAGACTCCTTCCGGGTCCAAACGCACAACTTTTTCGAGTCGCGCCCAGCCGTGACTTAGAGGAGGACCCCGAGGGTCAGAAAGCCTCGAACACCGATTCTCGAGGCAACGGACAGGCTGCTGTCTTCCCCCTCGCCGTACCCCCAAACCCAGATCCGGTCCGAAGGAAGCCTTCGGACCCCTCCCGGGTCCAAACGCACCATTTTTTCGAGTCGCGTCCAGCCGTGACTTAGAAGAGGACCCCGAGGGCCAGAAAGACTCGAACACCGATGCTCGAGGCGCAAAGTTCGAGCACCTCACTGAAACACTCCCCGTCGGCGCGCCGCCGACCATGACCTGTGGGCGGCGCCGGCGCCGTGCCGCCGCGACGGGCCCTCCCGGTTCGGGCTTCGAGGCTCCTCGGAAGCTCTCGCGGCTCTTGGGCCCACATCCCCGACGATAAGATTTTCTCCGTGCTGGCGTTTTTCAGTCGGCTTCGCACATTTTTCCCTCGACTTCGCCCTCCAAGGAACGATTTTTGGCCCCCCGGACCAATAAGAAAATATCCAGGACGCAAAACTGCTCCCGAGAAAGGGGTCGAGATCTCAGAAAGGATTGGGACAAATTCGCCGGCCCAACGGGCCAGAGGCGTGCAAAGATCTCCGGTAAATAGTTAACAATCTTCTAGTTCGCGCGCGCGCGGGGCGACCCCTGGGGGCCCCCGGACGAGAAGTACCCCGAGCAGGTCCCGGGCCAGCCCAGCGGGCCAGAGGCGTGCTGAGATCTCCGGTAACTAATTATCATTCTTCTAGTTTGCGCGCGCGGGGCGGCCCCTGGAGGCCCCCGGACGAAAAGAACCCCGAGCAGGTCCTGGGCACGTCGGTCCCAGCGATGGTTTTCTTCTTCGGCGCTGACTTCCAAGTCCCAGAGCGCCCCAGAGACGCCCCAAGAGAGCCGAGACGCCCCCGAGACGATCCGAGAGGCCCTGAGTCGCCGAAAGATCGTTCCAAAACGCCCAAGATGGCCTCCAGACGGCCGAAGACGCCACCAAGAAACCGCGGGGAGCCTCAGGAGGCCCTCCAAGAGCCTGAACAAGCAAAAACCTCCCAGGCATTCGTCACTCCAGGGCCTCCTGGAACGCCCCGGCGCCCAATGAATTGGCGAGCTAAAAACGTGCGCCGAGCCAAAGCGGGAGCGCAACTTTGAGAAAATTTTGCTCGGCGCCCAAGCGGGAAGGTCATTTCATTCACTTCGAGCGGGGGGGGGGACGCGCCGCGCCCAATTCTTGCCATGCACTTTTGCGGGGTGGACGACAAGAACAGCTATGTTGGCAGGGAAAATCAGCATGGCATTGTTTCTAACAAGTAAGGTGGCCCCTCCCGCCTTGGGGTTGCCCCAGAAGTCCGCGCGCGATGTGCGCCGCGCCCCATTCCTGCCACGCATTTCGCATCGTCGACGACAAGACAGGCCATGATGAAAGGAAAAACGGCAACTGTGTATTGTGTTTTACAGTCAGGATGGGAGGGCCCGCAGCCCGCATGGACGTCCGCGCGCGATGTGCGCCGCGTCCCATTCCTGCCACATATTTCGCACCGTCGGCGACAAGGCAAGCCATGCTGAGAAGAAAAAGCGGAGACTTTATATTGTTTTTACAGTCAGGATGGGCGGGCCCGGATTGATGGCCGCGCGCGATGTGCGCCGCGACCCATATGTGCGCCGCGTCCCACTGCTGCACATATTTCGCACCGTCGGCGACAAGGCAGGCCATGCTGAGGGGAAAAAAACAAGACTTTGTCTTGATTGTTTACAGTCAGGATGGGCGGGCCCTGATTGATTGCCGCGCGCGATGTGCGCCGCGTCCCATTCCTGCCATGCTTTTCGCATCGTCGACGACAAGAAAGACGATGTTGAGAAGGAAAACGGCCACTTTGTATTGATTTTTTAAGTCCGGATGGGAAGTCCAAGATTGGGTTGCTATCGGCCGGAATACGAAGTATGTTCAGGGGGACGTAAGACCTGGGTACAGAAGACTCGGAAATCCCCGACGAGGTCGTCAAAAAAATGACGAGGCCGAGCCTGCATTTTGACGAGGCCTCCCGCTGCAGACATCCCACGAAACTCCTCCTCGTCAAAATCCGAGTCGCGGTCGTCAAAAAACGATGGCGAACCCGAGTCCTGGCAAACCCAGGTCTTACGCTCCCCTGATATGTGGGGGTTTATAATAATAATAATAATAAGGAACAAGGATGTGCCCCCCCATCCAGAACGACCGCGACGAGAAAGCTGCCCCCAGGAACCCCGACGCCAGGCTTCATTCACGACTGTCGACCCCCAAGGGTCTCGACCCAGTTCCGCGGGACCCGTTGTTCAGTGGAGGTCGGAGAACTCCCCGTCGCTCGGACGTCCATTCCCTGTTTTCTTTCGGTTTCGTGCGTGGCTTTTTCGCAGGATGATCCAGGATGCTCCTTAAAAATCCCCGCCGAGAAAAAGCGCACACGTCCGAGCGATACCAAGAAAAGGGTGCGACATGCAGGGGTTCGGTGCCAATGCTGGAAACAACGATGCTGTCTACGATCGCGAAGACTACGGAAAACAAAAAAAAAAATGTGCCGATGTTTGTCAACGCCTCGGATCTCTGGGTCTGAGGGGCAGCTGCCCACCTCCGTGGGGAGCTGTCCCCCGACAGCCGCCGAGCATTATGTTGCCCCCATCGAACTTGAGGACCACATCCCAGAAATCATTTCGAGCACACGGAAAAGTGTCGAACGAGTGTCGAGGCAGTGTCGGACGAGAGTGTCTTCCAGGGCCCGCCACGCGAAGACCCCCGAGCTTCGCTGCTCTTGGGGGGGCTCGAGGTCCTTCCTGGCGGCCAAGGCCAAAGCAGGCTGGAACCCCCGAGCTTCGCTACTCTTGGGGGGGCTCGAGGTCCTTCCTGGCGGCCAAGGCCAAAATTGGCTGAAGGCTGGAGCATCAGAACCGCGCCGCGCGCGCGCGCGCCCCGCGGAGGAGGAGGAGGAGGAGGAGGAGGAGGGGGAGGAGGAGGAGGAGGACCGTCCTGTGGTGCTGGGTCCTCATTTTGAGGAGACAGCGCCCCGCGTTCTCCTCTCCAACTCTCCCCTGCCTCCTGGAGGCAGGCAGAGAGGGCACGCGCGGCCCCGCGGCCGCGGTGGGGCCCCGGCGCGCGGGCCGCGGCCGCGGCGGCGCGTGCCCGCGCCGGGCCCCAGGGCGCGGGGGCGCGGCCGCGCCCCCCCCCCCGGACCCAGCGGCGTGGACGACGGCGACGGCGACGAGGACGACGAGGACGAGGACGAGGACGAGGAGTACGAATACGAGCACGAGTACGACGAGTACCACGACGAATACAACGACAACGACGACGACGACGACGACGACGACGACGACGACGACGACGACACGAAGTACTTCCCCAGATCACCTCGCGGCTCTGGAGTCCCGAAGCGGTGCGGTGACAGACGGTGCGGCTGCCAGCGCGGGGGCTATAGCCCTGCTCCTGCTGCAGGACGTGCGCTGCGCTGGGGGCAGCGTGTTTCCGCACTCGCTGCGCGGGCGGCGCGGCGCATCGCGCAGCTCCCCAGGGTGCCCGTCGGAGTCGGGCGCCTCTGCGGGGCGCTTACGGCAGCGCTCGTCGCCCGACCCTGCTCGTCAAGAGGCGGTGGCCTCGAACTCCCCCAAGGCGCCCACCGCACGGTCCGTCGCCGCACGGTCTTGGGGCCCCGGAGGCCCCCGTCGCCCGAGGCGTCCTCGGAGAGGGGCTGGAGCCCCAAAACCGTGCGGTGGCCCCGAGTCCCCACCGACTCACCGCACGGTGCGGTCACCACTCCGTTCGGGGGCCCCCCAAAGCCGAGGGCCGCCGCGCGAGCCGGAGATCCAAAGATGGCGAGCGGCGAGAGACGAGCCCTCGGCGGCAACCCACTGGAGCCTCCCACACCATCTTGTCGGCTCCCGCGTACCGACGCTCGTCGACGCTGGCTTGACGCCAAGTCGACGCCAAGCCGACGCTACATCGGCGCTATCTCATCGACTCCCCAGACTCCTATCGACGCTAAAGACAGGATTGCGAGGGTACACCAGGCTCGCATGACTTGCTGCCGAACGAGCCTGGTCGGCTTTTTGTTGTACGTCTTGCGAAGCACAGCGTGCCACGGAGTGAGGAGGTACAGGCCTCGCAAAAATAGCGAACACTCATGCCACATTCATCTGTCAACGCCTCCCCCTCCCCCCAATGTTCAAAGTTGGCGGTGGGACCGCAGTCTCCCCCGCGCGTGCCAACTTTGAGTTTGGGGGGCAGAGGGGGGTGTTTACTAATTGTTTCCCTCTACCGCAGGGCCGTTTTTTGATGGACGTCTTGCGAAGCACAGCGTGCCACGGAGCGAGGACGACGGCGGCGGCGGCGACGGCGGCGGGGACGGCGACGTAGACGACGACATCGCCTCGCACGTGAGGAACAAGGTGGACTTGCTGAGCAGCTGCGTGCCCTCGCCGCTGGCCCGCGCCCACTCGGAGAGCCTGGCCTGGACCTCGGGCGGGCGCCCCGGCGGGCCGCTCGGCGCGGGCAGGGGCCTCAGGGAGGAGGAGGATGAGGAAGAGGAGGAGGGGGAGGAGGAGAGGAGGGGGGGAAGAGGAGGAGGAGGAGGAGGAGGAGGAGGAGAAGGTGGGTGGAGGACTCCGAGCCATGGGCTCACTCATCTTTTGTTGTGCGTTTCACGTCTAGTTCCTTTTCACCTTTACGCTTGCCGCGTAGAATTTGTTGCACACTGCGCCTGAGTCGGCATTGCAACGCTTCGCAGTTTTCCCACACCACGCAGCAGCCACGAACTTATGCTTGGCCCTCGAAAAAGTGTGGAGGGAGGGAGGAGGGAGGGAGGGAGGGAGGGAGGGATAGAGGGAGGGAGGGAGGGAGGGAGGGAGGAGGGAGGGGGGGAGGAGAGAGGGAGGGAAGGAGGGAGGGGAGGGGGGAGGGCGGCCAACTCTGGCGTCCGTGGGTCTCTTTCGAGAGAGAGCGAGAGCGAGAGAGAGAGGGAGGGAGGGAGGGAGGAGGGAGGGAGAGAGGGAGGGAGGAGGGAGGGAGGAGGGAGGGAAGAGTTTCGAGGTTTCGGTGGCTCCAGCCGCGGGCTGCTACCCAGCGAGTGCGCCTCGCCGGGAGCGTTCCCTGGGGGTGCCCCGCTCGTCCCGAGCGGCCGCCCGCGAGCCAATCTACGGCCCGAAGACCAGGAGTAAAATGTAGCGGTACCGCTGCTAAGACGACCTCCTCCTCCGCCTCCTCCTCCTCCTTCTTCTCCTCCTCCTCCTCCTCCTCAGGACAAAATCCAGGATCTCTGAGATCTGGCGGCTCTGGAGGACGTCTCGGGCGCCGCGGCCTTCTGAGAGCGCTCCGGGACGCTCCGAGAGCATTCTGGAACGCTCTGGAACGGATCTGTCCTCGTCCTAGCCCCGTCTGAGCTACCCCTGGTCTCGTTTTCGCCTTCTTGGGCCTCATGGAAGGCCCTCGCCGCCACGGCCGGACTCGCCCCGAAGCTCTGGCCGTTCTGGCCTGTGGGGCAACGAATGCGGGGGGCTGGCGTAGGGGGAGACGAACGAACGAACGAACTGCCATACGCCGGAGCGCGTGGGCAGAAGACAATGCCAGCCTGATCTCGCCGCTTTGCGGGAGCGACTGCACGTCGGCTGTCTCACAATGCACAGCGTGCGCGACTGGAAGAGGGGGAGCAGCAGCAGCAGCAGCAGCAGCAGCAGCAGCAGCAGCAGCAGGAGGGGAGGGAGGAGGACCGAGAAAGGAGGGACGGCGAAGACCTGAAATCGGCGATACATCGCCGATAGATCGGCGATCGGCCCCCGATAGCGAAGCCGCGCCTTCCTTGGCGGGGTGGGCCTATGGGGCCCCTATCGGCGATGAGCAGACGACTGGGGGTCGATGCAGCCTCCCCCACAGGTCGAGGTGCTACGAGCGCCACAGTAAGGAGCGAAGAGGCGCTTCTCCCGCCACGGCAGGCCCGGGCCTTCTATTTCAGCGTCTGGCAATCCGATATCCCCCCCCATCGTTGCCCCCGATCCCCCTGTCGGCGGTGGCCAAACCTCCCTTTAGCAAACCTCCCTTTAGTGAAAACGGCCTGGGACCGAAACCGACGGACCTGGACCCGCAAAAGTGACGGCCGCGACGCCCTCTCGCGAACCGAAAACGGCCAATTCACTAATCGACGTGTCAGGGTAGGAGGTCTGTCCACCCCCGACCCTGGTGGTCTTCGGGCCCTAGCTCTGGCCTCCGGCGGCCCTTCGGGGCGATCCGAGCACCCCCGGGAACGCTCTCGGCGAGGCGCGGCCGCCGAAGAGCACGCCGAGGCCCGAAGCCCGCCGAGGACCTCCGATGGCGCCCGAGGGCCGCGAGCCTCGAACGCCTGGAACACGTGGCGCCTGGTGGCCAGTCCCCCGGGCGAGGCTCGGCGGCGGACAGACCTCCCTCTCGCGAACCACCCTCTCGCGAAAAAACCGCCGAGGAACGAAACCCGCGGACCTTCGCCCGCAGAAGTGACGGCCGCGGCGCCCTCTCGCGGACCGAAAATGGCCGACCCGCTAATCGACGCGTCAGGGTAGGAGGCCTATCAACCTCCGAGAGGTCTGGCCGAGAGGTCTGGGGAGGATGAAGGGGCCCTGGGACACACAAATAAATACACACACATAAAACACAATTCCCCATAGTTTCCAATATGTTATGGGTATCTTGCGGGCAAAACTTCTGTCTATATCCACTGCACTATGGAGTTTCGGGCTCCCTTCCCAAGAAACCCGAGGCGCACTGGGTATGGATACATTTGCCCCCTAGAGGCTCGATGTTTATCCATATCCAGCGCGCCTGGGCCTTGTGGCGCCGCTTCCAAAAAAATACAAAAGGCACTGGATATGGGCATAAATCTTGTCCGCATTTCTGTCTCCCCCCCCCCACTTCCCATATGTTCCCATTTCTTCCTGGGGATCGACGATGAATTGTGGCTGTGTGTTGCTTTCCCTCCCGGGAGGAGCGGCGGCGCTGCTGCCTGGGGTCGCCCCTGGGAGGCGGGCCCCCTGGCCGTGAGCCGTACTTCAGTCAAAAGCCCTAACAATGAAGGGGCACTGGGACACACAAGTAAACACACACAAATATAAATATCCCCCATATTTTCACATATTTTCTGTGTTTTTGTCTTCCCCCCCACTTCCCATAGTTTCCCATATTTTCCTGGGGATCGACGATTAATTGTGTCTGTGTTTTTTCCCCTCCTGAAATACGGACGCGCGGCAAGGACGCAAGACCCTTGAAGCCGGAGGACTTTGGGGCCGGCGGGCGACGAACTCCCCAAGGACGCAAGAGCAGGGGAGAGCAAGGAAGAGCGAGGGTACCCTGAGCAGAGCCGCGCGTCCTTGTTAAGGTGTTGGACTGCAATCGGGCGGGACAGGGGGGACTGGCGGGCGAAGGGGGGGTCCAGAGTCCGCCAGCCCCGCCGGCGTGTCTGAGGGCAGCGGGGCCCAGGAGCACACAGATAGACATGGGAGAACTCTCTCTCACTCTATATACATATATATAGAGTTCGTTTCCCCATATATATACACAAATATATGTGTATACTGTATCTACAGAGTTCTGTCTATAGAAAGTTCGCTTCCCCAAATATATATATATATATATATATATATATATATATGCTTCTCTCACCTGTTTTTGTGCACTCCGCCAGGGAGCTTGTCAGGCCAGGACCTCTGGGGGCTACTCAGGGGTCAACCCAGGAGTTGGGAGAGGTCCCGTCCCTTCAGCGGCCTCCAAGGGCCTCCCAACCCGCCTGGCACAGCCGTGGCGCTTAAGCACCCGCGCTGCGTCCCAGACGCGCTGGGCCCTTGCCCCGCCGGGAGGTTAAACGTCACCAACCCCTGAACCCCCTAGCTCTCGTCCTGGCAAAAACTCGCGCGGAGGCAGGCACGGCCACGCGCGAGACGGTAGCAATGCTGCCCCCTGTCTGTGGGTGGGCCAACACAGCTACGGAAGATGGATGAAACTCACGTTATCCATCAACGGCGTCGCGCACGCTCAGGTGGACTCCGCATAGGTTTCCTTGGAAGGTTCATATATGCTTCTCTCACCTGTTTTTGTGCACTCCGCCAGGGAGCTTGTCAGGCCAGGACCTCTGGGGGCTACTCAGGGGTCAACCCAGGAGTTGGGAGAGGTCCCGTCCCTTCAGCGGCCATCCAAGGGCCTCCCAACCCGCCTGGCACAGCCGTGGCGCTTAAGCACCCGCGCTGCGTCCCAGACGCGCTGGGCCCTTGCCCCGCCGGGAGGTTAAACGTCACCAACCCCTGAACCCCCTAGCTCTCTCCACGGTCCCTACCCTGGCAAAAGCCGCTCCCTCTTGCTCTTACTTATGCCCTCCACCTGGTTGTAATGAAATGAGGGAAGAAAGGTGGAGGATGGGCGGGACAGACAGACAGGCAGTACAAAGCAAGAACAGTTCATCTCGCTTCTGCTCGCAGGCGGGACGCGAGCAGGCCGCAGCGCCTCCGCTGCGTGGGCGAGAGATTTAATTGAGTGGCCTCGGCGACGGCATCCTGGACATACAAGCGGGCCGTGCGCGCCGAGGCCCATCTGCCTCGGAGCAGCGTCTGCTCTATGGAGCCGTGGCTGCGGAAGTCGGCGGAGGCGCCGCCCCGACGCCAGCTGTAAAGAGTGAGCTTGGCATCTTGCAGCTCCAGCAGCTCACGCACGCGGCCGAAAGTGCTCATGAAGCTGCTTGGCTCCATCCTGAGGCACAAGTCCTGTCCGCGCGCCTGAGCTTTGCTCTGGCAAGGAGGGCGACCGCTACACCGCTCGCACGAGCATGAACTCTCGGGCACCAGGCTGATGCTGGCTTTTGGTGTTGCGCAGCTGCAGCACGGCCATATGGCGGACTGGATACAGCTGTACATCAGACCACACGAGCGAGGTAATCTCACCCGTCCGGAGGAAAGCGTCGTAGCCTGCTGCCAGCATTGCCGCAGCGCCAAGCTGGCCCACGGCCGCGAATGCACCTGCGAACGCTGCCGCGATCAGCGGACCGATCGGCAGCGCATGCTCAGCTGGCTCCAGGCGTTGCCACGTCTTGGCCAAGCGTCCGCTGTCTCGCAGGTGCCCTCGCACGGGCGTGAAAGCGTGCGTGATGCCTGCAAGAGCATTATTAACTTCAAACAAAGATCTTCCGCTCAGCCAACGGCTCTCGACGAAGGCGGCCACGCCAGCGTCGACCTGAGCGGGCGTCTGCGGCTGCCGGTGCTCCTGAATCCAGAAATCAACGACCTCATCGACCGCCACACGGTACTGCTGCAGGGTGAGCGGCGTGACCATCGCCTCCCTCAGCGGTTGGGACCTCGCTGCAGCACGTCGCGCCATCGCCTGGGCCGTGACCCGGCTCACCTTTGCTGCTGCTTGCGCTGCGCGCTTGCCGGGGGCGGCTCTCCTGGCTCTCGCCGGCGGCAGCACTGGGAGCGTGGCAGCGGCGGCCGAAGCTCCAGCGGGACGGCG